GAAAATATGTTAGACAAAGGTCAGATACACTAAAAAATATCTTTTTAGTATTATATTTTTAATTTTTAGATTTGTTTCTCTATTTTTGAAGTTCGCAAATTTAGCATAAATTCACAAATATTTCCCTTTAATTTAATTGATGAATTGTAAAAGTTTTGATTGTCTTTAAAAACATTACAAATAAGCACTGAAACAGGAACTTCATGGAGGTCAAAAAATTAGATGGAACGCAACAATCTCATTATATAATAAAGAATTTGATTAGTTTTTACACATGTAAGCATCAGTCATTAAACTTTAAAAAGCCAAAAAATACTCATGATCTTAAGTGAATTAAGGCTAGAAAATATACTTCAATTATGCAAAATTCCTGTTTTCCTGAGATTCTTTTTTTTTTCAGTGTTTTAAAAAGTTAGCAAAAACAAAAAATAGATATATAACTTAATCTTCTTTTCAGTGCTTAAGTTCTTGGCTCAAAGCCCGTCCTGTCTGTAGAGATGCCGCCGTTCGGTGAGCCGGAGCGCTATGGGATCATGATGAAAGTTCAGAGCTGGAGTGGAGCTGGACACCTGCCAGCTGCACCGTCAGTAGCTGCAGTTATGTGGATAATATTTCTTGAGCGGTGACCTTGAAATCATGCTGATTAGAGATTCCAACTTTCCAACCTGTTTAGATGGCCGCTAAACAAAGTGATCCAATAAAGTGTACGTTTACATTCCTCAATTTACATCTATTTCTAAATGTTTAGATAGGTGCTAATGTTTCCTGTTTACATCACTCTTCTCAGTCTGATTCCCACCGACCGGGCCGGTGCCTTCCAGCTGACCTGGCTACATGAGGCATTTTTATTCAGATTGGGCTACTTTTTCAGATTATTAGTGGAATACTGGGGTTTGTATAAACACAGCTAGTGTGTGAATTTACTGATGGGTGTCTTCAGATCTTGAGCTATGCGTGCGGTGGGAGGTTTACGTGGGTCAGCCCGTGTGCCCTGCAGTTACACACTAATACTGTGCAGCAGATGTGTGCGGGTCTGTGCGGTACGTCTGGGCATGACAGTGGGCAGGCGGAAGAAAGGAGGATGGTAACAATTATGCAAGTGGTGGCTCAGTCTTAGAGATGCATTCCGGCTGTGTTGGAGGATGAAGAGAAACAGCTCGCTGATCACCTCTCTTCTCAAATGACAACAGGGACTTCCTTGAACTACACCGAAGCTCTCAGTCAGCGTTTCCTCTCACAAATCCATCCTCTTCCGCTGACACCAACAGGTCAAAACACGACCTTTTGCCCAAACCTTGGCCTACATTTAAATTTAACTGGGGGCTTGTTGTGCTGGGATGGAGGCTGGGAGGAATGCAGGAGAGGCTATAGTCAGGGCAGGAAGGACCATCTTGAAGGAGGAATGATAACAGATTCACAGATGGGTTAGAGAGATGAATATCATCCACAGCACATACACAGATAGCTGCAGAGCACTATGTTATGACATGGTGCCCTATCATAACCTTTCCTGTTATACAGCAACAAACTGTGTACACAATGATGGCATTTAAATCTTCAGATTTAGCCCTCATACTCATGTAACGCAACAACAATCCGTACACCAACTCTCATCATGTGATCAGCCAGACGAACCAGAATGAACAACAGGAAACCGCTGATATTCCCCCAAAAAATTTTTTCCTTTGAGTCGCCCACCAAACAGATGTTCTGTTCCTTCTCTCACATCTGTCTCTCATAGCTTATCAATATTTCAACATCAGCAGAGTAAGTCAAGACAAGTCCTGTTCCCCCCGTCACATGAAAGTGACATCGCTCTATAAGTTTTATTTTAGCATTTTTAAAGTTAGAAACACACTCACTCATGTGCACCTCACGCCCATGTCGGAGAAATACTTCATCATCCTTTAATTCCGCCAAAGTCCATTACCAGACGCTTGAGCCTCTAAGGCAGCCTGATCTCACACACACATAAAAGTGTCCATTCACAAAGCCAGCTGGGTTTGGCTCTTAATCTTTTCTCTCTGAAACCAGATGACTTCCACCTGCTCTCACTGTAAGTGGGAAATGGTTCCTCATGAATGCGGCGATTTAAGATTCTAGCACTGATAATGATAGTATGTAAACTCTCTCACACACACAGCATGGTGGGAGAAAAAAAGAACTGGGTCATATTAGGCTCCCAAACAGTCACAATAGCCCCATTATCTAGCGCTCTCTCCCACTCTCTCTCTCCCTGCAACACACACAATCAAGCAAATATTTTTGTTTCTCATTACCCGAGCTGGCGAGGAACAGTTTCTTGTCTGTGGAATGATTCAGTCCAAAGATTAGAAACACAAGACGAGGCATCCTCCCAAACTTTTATGTGAAAAGTCTCCCAGTTTTTCTTCTTGGGGATGGAAATATGTGTCTCCTTCTTTGCTGCTGCTGCTGAGTTATTTTCAAAGTGAATGTTTTCGGCGCATCTTTCTGCCAGGCCCACCCATCTTTCCAGCCCACTCTCTCTCTTCCCACTTATCATTCCTGTTCCCATTCAATCTGTGCATCGCTCTGTGTTCCTCTCAGGGCAGATTTGATCTTTAGAGCTCCAGATTTTTTAGATTACAAGTGCCTACTCTGGTCGGGTGAAACAAAACTCTTTCTTGGGAAAATGACTTAACTAAACAGGAGTACACTTGACTTTCATTCATTTCTAGTGCAGTGACCACAAAAACTTGCTGGTGAAGTTGAAAAACTTTCCTTTCAGTGTCCCTGACTTAGTTTAAAGAGCACTTTTTTTGTTCCATTCACTACCTCACCAAGCTGTAATTAACAAAACACGGAAAAGGTGTCTTCTGGATGACATCACTTCAGACTTCAAATGAACACTTGCTGAGTTATAGCCGACGTTTGTTTGCACCTTGAAAGAAGCACAAGTGTCGCAGACACACCATCAACTCAACAGTTCCTCACATCTCTGCTTCATGCATGCAATCACAGAAATAGCATGAAATGACTAAAATTACTGTTAACCAAGTGGTTTCCTTCGCCACAAACAGCTGAAAAGAGCAGAGCTAGTAAATTTAGAGCCTTTGACAGTGTTGAATCGGGAAATTATAGTTATCACACAGCCAGTGGACACTCATGTTTTTCCTTTTGGGCTGGAATTTTTAGCCTGGATGTTGGTGTTGGACACGTTGTCAAGGCCCGAGTAATTGGTTCAGCCTGTCCTGGGCTCGGTTCAAATCTGTTGCGTCATGCTGCTTTTTGCCACTAATAAAACAGCCAAAGCAGACAGAAATAACCTGGTGAACCCCTCCTATGGAAAGGTTATGGGTGATTTTAGATGCACAAGTCTGAGGTGTAACGAGAAAACAAGTAATCTGTTCCTACAGATGGCTCAGAACAACCACATCTGTAACTACAATTACTCAGCATGGAACTGATTTTACTGAGGAATCTTCAAGACAGAGTTTCTGATATTTTACTATTTTCCAAGATGGTTTCAGTGATGACCTTGTATCTTTCATTTGCAGCCGGAAATACTTTCATCAGGGTGCATGAGATGCACATAAATTGGAACAAAATGTGCAGTGAACTGTCTTCACGTGGTTCTGAATAGAAACACACATGGGCATCAAAACATATGCATGTCCCACATTTTCAGACAGGAAACAGTCGACCCCTGGTGGTGACACCAGTGAATAGCACCCCCATTATCATGATCACCATGACTGCTGGAACATTTTATTGTCTAAGGCAGGGGTGGGCAATCCTGGTCCTCGAGGGCCACAGTCCTGCATGTTTTAGATGTTTCTCTCTTCCAACACACTTGATTCATATGATCAGGATCTTTATCAGGCTTCTGCAGAGCTTGATGATGAGCTGCTCATTTGAATCAGGTGTGCTGGAAGAGGGAAACATCTAAAACATGCAGGACTGTGGCCCTCGAGGACCAGGATTGCCCACCCCTGGTCTAAGGGTTATTTCTGCTGTAATGTTTGTAAAATTAACAGCATTTGCTCTTTTTAAAGAAAACTGTAAAAGATAATTTGATAAAAATGTGCATACTGAAAACTCGTAATGCCTTTTTTCCTGCATGCTTTACTAGATATAACACATGTGGAATCTGGTCATTGTATTGTGTCGCTGTGTGGTCGGGTGTCAGATGTCAACCTATAACTTTAGGACACAAATTCCTGACATGTATGGTGGTGTTTTTATTTCATGTAACTTTCCAGTCAGCTCATGTTTAAGGATTTGTCTGATCATTTGGACCACATCACTTTGAGACTGAACAAAATACTTTTAAAAATGATGCAAATAGTAAAATAAATGTAAATTAAACTCTCCCACAGTGACATACATGTTTCACTGCAACTTTAAAAGCTGCTGCAGGCTGCTGATGACCTTAGGAACAATTTACCACCTAACTTTAAGCACATGTCTTGGTGTTTGAACAATGTGATGTACTAAATTGCTTCTCAGTGGAATGCCTTATGTACAATTGTATATTTGTTGACGTGTCACAGTGCTGGGAAACCAGCTGCAGTTGTTTGTCTCATCACATGAAACAAGGAAACACCTGCAGCTTCATGCAGCAACAACCGTTAACATGTTAGGTAGACTTTAACCACACATGGGAACAAACACTGTATTCAGGTCATGTTTACCTAAAGACACCAGCTTTTACAAATACAATCCCAAATTGCCTTCACTCTAAAAATAGGTTATTCTATTCACATTAGCAGGAACACCCAATTTAAATGGATGTGAAATGCACGCCCATCAATTAATTGTACTCTGAGGGTAATGACTCAGTATTTGCTGAACTGACTTCAGAGCTTTGTTGATGCAGCACTGTGGTCATTCTGGATGCTGCTTGTGGTGATTATGTAGCAGAACAGTCTGCAGAATGTCCACTAATCACAACTGTTTCAATATAAACTGAGACCTTCAAGGTGGAGTGTTTTAGCTAGATACACAACTGGGGACCGTACCGTTATTTCAGCCTAACAGAATTTGCACTTCAGGTTTTATTTCCACTCAACAGAAACTTAAAGGCAGCTTGCACAGTCATGCTACAAAGAACCAGATGAATAGCCCGCCATGCTGCAGCCCCTGGCCCATGAACCAGTCGTGCATGTCGATAAGATCAGGCCATGATTTCCCTCCAGGCATGTAGCTTAAAGGCCAGCTAACCGGTAACTAATGAATGGCGACCCAGCTGTTCTTAAACTCACATTTCATAGTCAGTGAGGCCTATCAATGGCTGACCAGTCGGCTAAACACAAAGGCACCGACTTTACGAGCAAACCTTTCACAAAACTAGCAAGTAGCATGTTAGCCTGATGTCAACGAATATTAAACACAGTTTGTACAAAACAGGCGTTTATTAAATAAAAAAAAACCTCATGCGAAAAGTCACACAAGACAGAGGGACACGTGAATAGTTGCTCTTTCAATGAACCGTGGGCGGCCCTTAAAAGGGCCTTTGGGTTTAAAGTTATTAGCCAACAAGCTAATACTCTTGAGACTGAGAGGAGGCCTTCTTTCCCGCTTTGCCGGAGCTCGGTGCGGACTGGCCGGTCTTCTTGGGCAGCAGGACGGCCTGGATGTTGGGCAGGACGCCGCCCTGAGCGATGGTCACACCGCCGAGCAGTTTGTTCAGCTCCTCGTCGTTGCGGACAGCCAGCTGGAGGTGGCGAGGGATGATACGGGTCTTCTTGTTGTCCCTGGCGGCGTTGCCGGCCAGCTCCAGGATCTCAGCGGTCAGGTACTCGAGGACAGCGGCCAGGTAGACGGGGGCCCCGGCGCCCACTCTCTCGGCATAGTTACCCTTACGGAGCAGACGGTGCACACGGCCCACGGGGAACTGCAGTCCGGCGCGGGAGCTGCGGGTCTTGGCCTTAGCACGGGCCTTTGCTCCGGTTTTGCCTCTTCCAGACATTTTCTGTTGCTGAAATGAATTCTTCGCGGAGAATGATGCAAAGGAAGAATTGCAATTGATGAGGGAGAGACGGCGACACAACCTAGTTATAAACCTCACACTTGGTCCCGCCCTAAATCACGATTGGTTGTTGGACCAAAGTGGCCTGATTTGATTGGCTGTGAAAGGTCAATGGGACCAGGACGACAGCGACTATTGGTGTAACTGCTCTGACCTTCGACCAATCAAGCTGGCGTATGAGAAATCAACAAACGTGATTGGTTGTTGTGTTTCCTGCTTCGTGTGAGTGGGTCGGAAAGAAAAAGGCGAACACACAAGACCAATCCGGCCCCTTCCCCCCAGCTTTGAGTTTTTGGCGCGTGTTATTCTGCAGCAAAAGTTAAGTCAATGCAATTCTAATTTTACTTTCCATTACTTAGGGTGACCAAAGTCCTGTTTTCCCAGGACATGTCCTGTTTTCACGTCCTGGTTGTTTTGTACAAAGTGATTAAACTGTCCTGGTCCTGTCCTGGAGGAGGCCTACTTTAGATGTATTGCAATTCAAGGCATCTTTGAGTAAATTTCGAGTATCATTTGAGTATTTTATTGCCAAGCTGAGCGTCCTGGTTTTCAGTAATCAAAATGAGATCACCCTACATTGCTGTCACTAAGGATTTTTTTTTCTTTATTAAATAATACATCATGTGTAAACCACATGGTTCTAGTGTCTTTGCATTAGAGCAACAGATGCACATGTGTATTAAAACATACACAAATGAAAAAGATTTAAAGGTAGGGCTTTCTTGTAAATCTTTCGTTTCTCTTATGTTTAAAGGTTGTATTGCATTTAAATTTTTTGCATCCTTAAGGCCTTTGGTATAAGAAAGAAACTCATAATGACACACACGCCAGCTGATGGGGGGACAAACGGGTCTGTTGTCCCGGGCCCAGAGTGGGTGGGGGGCCCAGAACTGGACCCTCATTGAATTATGGATTTTTTTCCCCAAAGAAGGGCTATTAATGGAAAGAAACAGTGCAATATTTGAGTTAGAAGTTTTAATTTGTTTTCGTCTGAACTGTCCTTAATATCTTTGGAGTTGCCCTCCACCCCCACCTCCAACATAAAATGGTTTGGCCCCTGATCAACATTTGTTGTCCTTTTATTGGAAGTTCGGATTTTGCACTTCAGCACCAAAATGTCCGCTCAGCAGAAGTCTGGTGCTCAGAAAAGGAAAAAGAAGAGAAAAACAGAGGAAGAAAATAGAGGCCTTAGAGATTTGCTTAAAAAATACTTCTAAAAAGGTGGTGACAACGAAGCTGGAACTAGTAAAGTCAACGTAGAGCGAGGTAAGAAACAGCGGAGCCAACGCTTGTCAGCCTTGTAACGTTATTTGGCTAGCTGTTAATTAGCTATGATTAAAATCCTGACAAAACACGGGTTTTTTCTAATATCATCTCGACCCGGACCCAGGGAAGGCTGTCAGCTGGCCTGATGACACACATAAAAAGCCCAGGTTTTGCTTTCATATGCTTCATGCACATTTGTGCAACCATACCTCAAACTGTGTTGTGTCATCACAAAATACACCGTGGCTGGTTTCAATTCCAAATCTTTGTTACGACAATTTACTGGATGGATATACGCCATTTAAAATTTTAATTGGATTTAATTATGCATCTTCGAGAGTTAGGGATGGCTTTCATTATAGTTTAAATGTGTTAGCATTTCCAGACATATTATATTTAAGGCAGAAATCCTCACATGACATAATACAGCCACTACTATCTACTACAGTTGGTGAGTCACTGATGAAATGCCTTCCTCCATGCAGTCATTGTTTTACTGTAAAATGTCCATTATTCCAAAACTGTGTACTATGTGGGGTGAAATGATGAGCAAATACACGTGTTTCCAACATCACATGACTTGCTGGGGCAAAATTGGCCATTTTAGAGTAGCAAGATTACAACTACCTAATATCAGGCTGGTCACTCCAGACAGATTTCCATGAGGTGGTGAATAAATAGCACTCTATATGGTCACCGAATACTGGTTTCAGTGTCAGCAAAGACGACATATAAAATCATGTTCTTAAATGATAATGATTCCTGCCCTTTGGTTTTCCAGCCACTAAAAAGTCCTTAAAGGTTGTGTTTTAGGCTTTTTTGACAGCATATAAAAGAACATTTTCATGCATCTCACTCCAGTGCCATCAAACCAGATTCTTTTGATGACATAAAAAGCTATAATTTTATGAAAGTCTGCACAGAAGGTTGAGGGTTTTTTTTTGCCATTTGACAGGGCAAACAGCTGTGTTTTAATTTAAACTGCATGCAAACAGGTGATTTATGGCACTTTTGGTTTTCCATTTTCTCCTGTCTTAAGGTCTTTGCTGATCAACTGGCTTCAATCTTCACTCAGAGCTGTGGATGGAACTTTCCTGTGTTGCTGGTGAGTCAATAACACATTTGTTGTGTGTGTTAACATCCCTGACAAAAAATGAAAGTAAAGAAAGAGCCACACAAAAGGAAACTCATGAGCATATTTAGGTAAAGAAGTAATTTAGTTCATTTTAGGTAATGACAGAATAGGCTCAGTTTAACCCAGGTAACTCTACACAGACACATTTTACACCATAAAAGGCCTTATGGTGATTGAAAAATGAGCTTACCTTCTAAAAGAAATAAAAAAAAGTAAACCAGATTCAAATACACAGACTAAGTGATGCTTCAAAAATAATTTATTTGCAATAAATTAAATATTTTAAAATATAACAACGGAAGTCATATCTTAAATTTTGTAGCCACCTTCTGTTTCACATTAGAGCCTGTGTTTCACATATATACATGTTTGTATTTTCAATGTGCCTTTAGACAGTCAGGAGGCTTTGTTCTTTTATTCATCATTTGAATTTGTAAAGCACATTGTCAGCAGTGGCTCCGCCTGTGTGATCCCTTTGATATCTGTGTCTTTTTATTGATAGAAAAAAAAAAAAAGTAAATCAGTTAATTTGGTTGTTCTGAAGTCCTATAGCTAATGCAGATTTTTTTTTTTTTTATGTTCTCAGATGAAACACAAATGGCCAAAAACGTATGTACATTTTTACATACTGGTTCTATTTGCCTTTGAAGGATGCAGCAGGTTTCTTCATGTCTCTAGTTTCTAAATAGTGATTTCATTGCTAACCCTGAGTACAGTACGTCCACTCTGTCCTAGACTTCACTCGCTTTGCCTGAGCAGAGCATCTCTAAACTCTTCTTTGAGACACTCGATTTCCAACTGCAGAAATATTGCGATATTCAGTTAAAAATATTACATCACAACAATGCTCCTAAGTGTAAATACAACAATAGGTTCTGTTATGTTTAGTGTGTGATTATGAACTACGTGTCAGCGTCTCCTGCAAATGATTTTGTCTGCGAACCCTGCAAGGCATTTAACACAATATATTCAAACTTACTGAACAGCAATGATAATTATTATAATAATGAAGTCCATGTAAAGTCACTTGGAGCATCAACATAAATCCGGCTGCACTCAAAGCTGTAAGGAGAGCAGTACCTGATCATGTTGATTTTTTTTTTTCCCTGACAGAATACTGTCAGGATTTATGAAGTTTAAACTCACTGGTCAGCTTAAAAAGTCTGACTGAATTCTCAAAAAGCAAACTGAAGTTATGATATTCCACAGAAAGTACCTTTATAAAATAAAAGTACAATAAATATGTTGGTTTTTTTTCTGCTTCTTATATAAGATACAACAATAAACAACTTTCTAAAACCAATGTTTAAGCAATTAAGAATGGACATTACAGCTAGATTAAGACAGATTTTGGTTAACTTACTTAAATTATGTGTTTAAATTACATCTGAATGGAAAAACAAACAGCATTGTCTCTATTTTACAGTGTAATGCAACTATGATGACTTATTTTGGGGGTAAAATAAATAGCACTGTGTTTGTTTCATGAGTTTCACATAATAATAAATTACAACCAACAGTTTTGTTTTTTTTTTTTACATGTGCTGTTAAAAAAAACTAACAAAAAAAACTTCTAAAGTCCAAAGTGCAACCAACAGCATCATACTGGCATTTTACATCACTAAGTAGTTGAAGAGCATTTTCCACCACCAGCCTCAATCAAACAGCTGTAGTTAGTGTTCAAACATTTCACTGTAGCTCTTCCTTTCTCCTCAGCGAGCAGCAGGTTTCTCCTCAAAGAAAATAGATTTCGTAATCACATTTTAGATTCAGTGATGTGATCAAACATGACTTCGGTCCTGAAGGTGCGATAATTTCTCTCCACAGAGGAGCCCTCCCAGAGGTTTCCTCCTTTTCGAGACGTCCAGGTGAAAACCCGCCCGGGGTGTTCAGCCTGTCGTAGACCGGACTCAAGTTCAGTTGTTCTTCTGACAGCGATAACAGAGGCCTCACAGCAAGGTCAGGGTGATACGTGTCCTACCCAAAGCAATGATAATTAGTTATCCAGTGAGCTTGCTCCTCCGTTGGTAGCAGCAGCCTTGGATTTTGATTTGCCTGATGAGCGGAAGGAGAAGCGTTTGATGAGACGCCGGGAGAAGCTGCCAGACTTTTTACGACTGCTGTTGGCAGCAGCCGCAAAGTTATTGCCCATGTTGGAGATGTCTTCGTGGGATTGGCTGAGGCAGGACTCCTTCTCTCGATGTCTTCTGCGGAACAACAGCTTCGTCCCGCTCTGTAGAAAGCCCACTGCGGGAGGCAGACAGCACACGTCATGGTATTAAAGTGACAATCCATTAATGCAGATTTAGGGCTTTTATAGAAAAACACTAAGCTTTTAACTATCTACTAGTTTTACAAATTAAATGAGTGAGTTGATGACATAGCTTTCTTATCAAACTGAATTATTGCTCCGTGGCACTACGTCCAATGAAAACCACTTCATATTGGTCTTGTATGTGCTGCAGTTTGACCTCTAGAGGGCACCATGTACGTAACTGCTGCTAAATGTGGGAATGCTAAATTTATGTTTTGAGGTTATGTAAGAAAATACAGTATTTGTAAATCATATCTTTCTGTTTAAAAGAATAGACAGAATAGACTAGAAAATGACCAAAAATATATATATATATACTCATTCTTTAATTTATATTCCAATGGCAAGGGCAACATGAACGTAAACACCATTTGAACTGCTTTAATGTTATATTAACATTTAGCATAAGACTTGTCAGGAGGCTGCAGCTACGCCTCTGCCTCTGATCATGTTAGTGCACCGACCAAACAACTGTGAGGACTGAGTCACCTTTATGGTCCTTGAGGCTGCGGGTTTCCAAGGCACCAGTGGAACCAGTGTCTGATTCCACATCATCCACAGATGGACGCTCCGACACGTCAGACGGTGTGGTTTCGTCTTGGTCCGGGTGATGCCCCGCCCCGTAATGGTTGCCATGCATGGCTGCGTCCATGGCTGCCGCGTAGCCGCTTGATATTGCACAGTTATCCTCAGAGAGTGGAACCTGATGAGTGTTATAATGAAGCAGAGGGACATGTGTTAGCACTAAAACCCCTAGAATCAGCATTGGTATGACCATTACATTAACATATACAGTTCACTGTCAGGGGGTCACGATTGTCAGCATCTTTACATTTCAAGATAATGAGACTTGAACGTTCCAGCGATTAGTGAGTCAAGTGCACTGACTCGCACTCAGTATGTTTCTACAGATTTTCGGGCAAAAATCAGGTCAGAAGATTCTCATTCTGCTACAAAGTGGTCCAGTGGGGGGGCTGTGGACTAAATTTAGATCACTCTCATTCTGCCTGGCTCCATGTCTTTGTATTTTAGATACCTAGCAGTAGTTAACAGCTGACTGCTCATAAAATCAGAGCAAAGTTTGAATGTTTTGTTTATCATTAACTGGTAACAACACAATCACTGAAAATGAAACTAACTGACAATACACTCTATATTTAAAAAAGTAGGAGGGGACTGTCCAGTTTTAGCAGTTATGGCATAAGTTCTACAAGACACAGCCTCCGTTTTCTGACCTTTGACACACCAGAGATGATTAGCGTGCTTCTTTTCGTTGGAGTCTTCCGCGCTACTTTGGACGCAGACTCTGTCAGCTGCCGGATGGCGGTCTCTGCAACAGGATCCAGGCCATTAGACAGGCGGCTGCTCTCTGAGCAACAAAAAACAAATACGTAAATAAGAACTATACTATTAACGGCGACATGCTGTTTGTCAAACACATACACACGCACATCCTCTTGAAAACTATCGTGTTTACCGTGCTTCTTTTGTACTTTGCTGAGTGTAAGCTTGTAGTTTCCATATGTAAACCTGTTGTAGAGCTATGTGAGGTACCCGCACGGAGCGAATGATGAGTATTGAAAAGAGCATTCCTCTCCACTCGTGTTACACGGCTGCTTGTTGCTTATCCTACTTTGCATCTGTTATGTAAAACAATGTCTGGGTTTCAGTCTCGCACTCACTGCTGGGGTTTGGGCTGCTGCTGCCTCTGCCATCAGTCAGGATGGTGGGTTTCTTCTCAACCACCTCCACTTTGGATGGAGAACGCATCGGGGAGTCACCTGAAAGACATCGCAACTATTATATGTCATTGCTCTGATTACATAGTTTTATCTCTTGTTGTGAACCCATCCTGGTTCAATCAAACAGTTCCCTCTGTAAACTCACCTGGGCTGCGATCAAGTTTTAGTCGAGACTGGACGGTGGTGACAGTAGTGACAATGGTTCCATCTGGCATGATGGTTCGGTCCACGTCGACTTTCTTTGTCGGGGTAAGTGAGGACCGAAGTGGAAAAGCATTGTGGGCACCGCGAGGCTCTTCTGTTTCCACATACAGCAGCTGGAAGAAACAAATAAATGATCTTTGCATGCTGTTTCACAGACTCCCATAATTAATGGAGGAAATAAAATCTTTAGATCAGGTGGGAACGTAATTAAAAAATACGGCACTTCAGTTAAATTCACATTTGGACCTGCAGGGGATTTTAGATGATTAATCAGTAGGCAGGAGGGATCCTGTAGATGTATCCAGTACGTTTTTTAAATGTGTCTTTTGTTAGAGAAAAACAGAAAGTACCAACATGAAATGTTACCCTGCAGAGATAAAGCAGATGTTTATGTTTTCTTTGACGCCATACAGTATGTAGACTGCAAGACAGACAAAAGGCAACAAGTTGGGTGCTGAAAAGATTACAAGACATCTGCACAACTATTACAGGCACGACAATAGACTGTATCAGCTGTTATACAACACTCCCTCTCCTTTTGTCATGAATCTTTGCTGAATTCCAGCTTGCCTGATGACAGATAATAGACTGTGATGTAACTGTATGTTTCAAAGCATGAGGTTGTCTTTGAAACAGTTGTGTAGAATTTTAAAGGAATGCATCTCATCTTGTCACTTACCTCGGCAGTGATGGTAGCGTTCGGTGCCAAGCCATGGCCGGGGCTTATGGACAATTTATGTTGTCCAGTGGGAACTTTGCTGTGGAGCTCCAAGGCGATGGAGGCGTGACCAGGCAGGAATTCTGTCCAGTTTGAACACAAAAAGAAGCATATTTGTCTAAACAGCAGGAAAGCATGGGGCCATAATAGGAGCCTGACGTTTCATACATCTTAAACGACGTGAACAGAAAGCATTACAGTGGGTCTGCCAGCAGTGCATTTTAGGCACCGATGATTTTGCTTAAGCAGTCTAAACATTCCTGCTGATCAAGTTTCTGAACAGCAGCCAGTAGTAAATTGGTATTGAGCTATGCCTTACGTTCCCTTTTGCCGTTCCGCTCCAGAAGTCGTATTCTGAGCTCCTTGGTTTCTGGGCCCAGCTCCCTTCAACACACAGGAAACAACTGTGTTAGGATTAGAATGACAAACCACTATGAAAAAACGAATTTACATTTACCCCAAATCCTGCAGGTGGGTTTGAAAGGCACCTCTTTACAAAATCACCAGAACTACACCATATATAATTATACCATTATACTGTTTGGCCAGGAAATCATAGACCATATCTAAGCTTAAATTCAAGATTTCACAAAACCACCTTCTCCTATATGTCCTATTTAAAAAAATTCCAAAGTATGTGATCATATTAAGCATGTGAGGAGTAACACATCTATAGTGTGTAGAGTCACAGTTTTATTTTGCAGTACTGGAAACATCTGAGGGAAACATTGTACAAATGTAGTACAAGTTGATTCCGGGTTTCTCAAAAGAAATTCAACTTGCCTTTTTCTTTCTGTCTTTTTTTCATTCATGGCATTATTACTTATTACAAAAGACATTTTTGTGTTTCCTCTACTGCTTGCCACGGTTGTGCTGTTTCCATAGAGATGCAGGACTTTATATTGCAGTGAAAAATGAGACCACAATGAGTAAAAATGTGACAGAAGCAGAAAACACACAGAACTTACTCAGGGTTCAGGAGGTTAATTGGAACAATGAAGCTTCTTTGCTTTAAACCCATTAAAAAAAACTTGACTTTAGATTGTAAGTGCTGCTCATGACTCCATAAGCTACAAAGTTAGAGAATAGTGTTTGATTCATTTAATTCATGTGAGAGAGTGGTTTAAACACATTTGACCCACCAACTGTCACATTGTAAGTCTAATGTTGCTGTAGAGAGATGATAAATACAGAAATCTTTCATGTGAATTCACCAAAAACTGTTGCAGCTTGTAACTTACGATCCCGTAGAACAGGGGTGGGCAATCCTGGCCCTCGAGGACCAGGATTGCCCACCCCTGCTGTAGAACCTGCTGCCGAACAGCAAGAAGCTGACATTTCAAACTGGCATAAATCTACACAAACATCACACATCAACATGACTTCAGATTACACGTGGCGCCTTACATTGTTACTTCTTCGCTCCATTCGAGGGCAGCATTTGGGTTGCCGGACACAGACAGGAAGCGGGTCGTCCTCTCCGTAGAGGGCTGATCCAGGTTAAGGACACAGCACAGCTCCCCCGATCGAGACCACTGACCTGCGAACACACAGTGACGCGGTGAGACCTCGGCAATCAGCAGGAAGCTGGACGGAAACGATCCGACGCCGAGGGAAAATATCTGACCTTTACTTAAGGTCGCCCTGAGCTGCCGGAGGAGCAGCCGTCTCACCAACACAGTCTGGGATACAGAGTTCAATCCCACCGAGAGATGGTCCATGGGGGCCTGGGGAGCGTGAAGGAAAAAGGGTGCTGAGCTCAACAGCATCATCACTTTAAGCACACGACCCATCACATCGCATCAAGTCATGGTAATCCTATTATCTCAGCAAAGGTGGCGACAAACATATTTCTCACCGAAGGACTGGGCGCACATGTCTTGAGGTTGAGGACCATCGCTGGGTGAGTGCTGAAAAGTGTGTCCTCGATCAGCCCCTTAATCATGTCCAGGTCCACCGCACCCTCAGCACCCTGACAAGAGAAATAAGCACTGATGATAAACCAGAATGTAGTAAACAGAACTAGCTACACACACAAACTTAATTATTACCCAATAATATCATCTTACTCCTAATGATACCCAAAAGGACCAAACAGAACTTCACTGTTTAATGTTGCTTGAATCTAAAAGCGTACAAAAAGCATCCCACCTTTGGGGAATTGAACCAATCTCCATGTTCCATATTTACATTTTCACATTATCCTTTCATTTCTTGTTTTTCAATTCAGTGGGTGTCCCCGTAGAGCCGTCTCCGATCGGGAAAACAATTTATCGAGCTAATTATTCGGTTAATTCTTCATTTATTAACTTTGATGCTGCTTCCAAAAAAAGGCATTTGAACGCCACGCCACATTTACATAACGATATTCAAGGCATCACAGCATTTCCTTCGTGACTCATAACGAGTTAAATGGGACGGAAAGTGACTCACACGCAAAACATTACGCGCTGACAGATTTATGAAAAGAATCTGACAGAAAGCATGAGCAGTAAAACATTGCATAATGTGTGTTTCCTTTTTTTTTTATTTTTTACAGTTTTTTTTTTTTAACGCATGCAAGCTTTTAGATTGTAAACAACTGAACAGTTTGGGATACGTGACCTTTATTGACTGCGGCCGTATCAAATTAGCGGTGTCAGTTTAACATGTTCTCACCTGTCTCTGCAGCTTGCATGGAGACGCGGTCAGAGAAAATGATGGCTGCTTGGAAAGAGTCCAGGAGATCAGCAGACCCTCGTCCTCTACCTCCTCCAGGCACGCCGTCACCTGATGCAGACAGACGGGGGGGAGACAAGGTTAGGAAACACTTTAGAGGCAGACAGCACATTAGCAGGCGTGCAGTTACAATAAAAAGGATTCTGTGTGTAACCTGTTCCAATTAATAAATGATTACCAGACAATTTCATTTTGATAATTTAGTGTCGTCAGATCTCCAAGAAGACTGGCACCTTGTGTTCACCTCTATGATATTACATTTTCAAACAAGTTTATTGTAATTTTGCTGTACACACACAGTAGTACAGGCAAGATGAAAGAGAATTTCTTCAGGATCCAACAACTTAAAGCAAATTTTACACAAATTTACATTAAAAAGCATCACTTTGCATTTGTTAGAAACATTTTTTACATTTAAAGGAAAGTTTCAGGTTGAATTTTTCCCTCGATTTACACTTAACATTTCTTGAAAGTGATTGCTTCAAAAGTTGATGCAACATTTTGTATGTTTTGTGAGACGTAAAGGCAGAAATTCAGATAACAAACTGACATACTGAGCAGTGCTCTTCAAAATGCTTTTTATTCATAGCATTTCATATTTACAAAAGGGAGTTGTCTCTCCTCAGCATACTGTGCAAAACTAAGTGGCAGTAAGTCTTTGCAGCTGTGTTAGAAATTTCTATCTTCCTTGCTACATTTTTTGCATTTCACAGTTTTTCATCATAGTGAATTACTGGTTTGGTGTACCTTCCACAAACTCCACCCTGTCAGGACACCGTGGCCACACTATCTTAGCTATCTGTTATATCTTACTGCATTTTGTACAGGTGAAGAGACTTCACCGCTGCATTTGTAATGAAAATGGTGTACGGTGTCATTTTTTGACCGGAGGATCATTTTCCCAGAGAGAGATAATGGAGTTCTGAGTGAATGTCAAAGTCAGGCCATGTGAGACTGATAGCAGGTTTGACTTCTGGGTCACACACAACCGCTTCAGCTCCACCATCAGCGGCAGCTTCTGACGCTGGCGCCGTAAAAGATTGCACTTGACGAAAATGCAAACAGTGCACTCACAGTCTTCTTTTATGGTTGCAAATATAAATTAGAGAGCGCTCTTCCACCTCGCTCTCTCTCTCGAGTGGCATTGTAAAACGCAGTGTCGGTTTATGTTAGACGAGTGAGTTATGGCTGATAACAGCTCCTTGTTCATCAGTTTCTGTTTCGTAAGTATTAAAGGTCTCATATTTTCAGCAAAGTAATGAAAGCCTCACGTCTCCATAATATGTTTTTCAATTTTTCAGCTTAAAATACTGCAAAAAAAACAAACCACATTACACCATGACTGTATATAAGCTGAACTGCTGCTGTCCAGACCCCGTCAGGAAAAGGACTCTCTCTGCGTCTGTGATTGATAGCACAGAGCAAAACAGCTGACCGCACGGCAGCCAATATGTAAATGTCTATGATAAATAACTGCAATAGCTTTATTGGAGGTGTGATTTTTTTAAATCCAGTTTATAGTGAGCACAGAGAGCAGGGGAGAAGCAAATAGATGTAAACACTGGCTGAAGTTGAAGCACAATGGCCGACATGAAAACGCAGCAATCCACCTTTTTTATTGTTTTTAAATCGGCCTTAAAGTTTCCATCTTCTACATTTTTCCTCTGACCTGTGGCCACACAATCAAAGCTACTGGTAATGCTAGCCTCATAGCACTATGGATTTTCTGACTGTTGTGGTGACATTGCCATCAGATATAAAAATAATCCACTTGATCTTTAGTACGTCAGATGCTGGGAGTGCGTGAAGACTCTTGTGTTCACGCTTGCAGCCAACAGCAGAACATTTGTTGAGCTTCACTCAACACTGAGGCACTTAAGAGTTCGGAGAAGCATCTCTAGAATGTAAATAAACCTGGTGGACTGAGAGCCAGCTGCTCTTTCTTATTGGTTCACCTTGCAAGCAGCAGGCTATTAGGGGAGAGAATTATACAAAGTTTGAACTACACAGCTATTAGTTTGTTTGATGGTGTGTAGCTGTTCAGTAAAGTTCTCACTGACTCATAAAGCTGAGAGACTATCTACTTTTGAGAAGCTTGAGGACTGGCAGAACGAAACATCTTCATTTCTTATCAGTGTTTTGTGTAACTCTCCAGGTTTACAACAACAAAAACATACAATAAAAATGGATCTTCACCATATGTGACATTTAACATTCCTGCCAGTATTAAACCTGAAAATGCTTGGCTGCTCTCAGTTTGTGATGTCACGACTAAGTAATGAGTTTTTTTAGATACTCAATTAGAAAAACTACTCCATATGTTACTGTAGTGCATATATGGACGAAAACAATATATAGTTACCACTTTATTTCCTCCCACAATATGTCTGTGAAGATTCTCAGTCTTTCAGGTGATGGTTATTCTGGTAGATTCATCATAGCAACTGGACTTGCTTGAGTTCCTTGAATACGTTCCACCTCTCATCCAAGAGGCTTCATCAGTTCTGACTGACCAGTTGGGAGTTCCAGATACTTATATCCTAAAGGAGCCATTAACACCTGAGTTGGTTTCAATAGCAACAACCCCCCAGTTGAAACCGAAACTTAGGTGTTAATGGCTCCTTTAGGATATAAGTATCTGGAACTCCCAACTGGTCAGTCAGAACTGATGAAGCCTCTTGGATAAGAGGTGAAACGTCTTCAAGGAACTCAAGCAAGTCCAGTTGCTACGATTAACCCCCCACAATAATTCATGAAAGTTGCCGACCTATAAGTTGCTCTTTAATGGCAGTTGCAGTGATGGTGGAGTGACGTGGGATTTTTGTGTGAAATTACTCATTTGAATAACAATGCAAATGATGTCCTGACAGAGGTTTGACCTCACATGTGCAAACTACAAAAATCCAGGTGATGTGCTTTAGTACCTTTGCCACCATTGGTGCTATAGTGATCTGATAGGTGTCCATGGAAACGGCAGCATGTGACTGCTGGGTGACGGTCACGGGAAATGTCACCGTGTCGACGCAGCACTTACAGTGTAAAACCTGTAAAACAAGAAGAGGACAAAACTCATCACACACACTCCAATTAATTGCTCTAATTAAAATACTCTGGGTGATTGAAGGTGCAAGCTTTAGAAGTTAGCATTTTTACAGCTGTGATGAACAACAAACTGCAGAGATTACTTACCATTCGGTTTGCTGACTGGTCTGTGCAGGTCACACTATCTATTGCAGAGGCTGTGGTTAACTGGAGGCTGCTGTCAAAAGTGATCTGGATTGAGCTCTGGTGGAGACAGAGGGAAAGAAAAATGTCCTAAATATTACATAAGAGAGAGAAGAGACACTTGAGGATGACATGAAAGATGTCTGCACTGATAAAGCCTTTAATACAGATTGTTAGCAACAAGGCACAGATATTATGGACTTTAAGCTGATTAGCAAATGTAAAAGCTGCTGTATCAACTAAACTAAAATGCAAATTAATTATGACATTTAAGGAATTTTAAAACTTTGTGGTTGAGGAATTTCACAGATCTTTCCTCAGAATGAACAAGCACTCACATGGTACTGATCGTGCCATTCACATGCCGATCACATAATGCAATGCTTTTAATTTAAAAATGATGTTTGTACTCTTCCCTGCCACACCATCTTTACAGAAAATGTTCCAGTCGGTTCTGTAAAAGAGTCGGCATTTATTGTGTGCGATAATTTTCTCATGGTAAAGGTTCGATATTACGAGGTGGATGTGTTGAGTCAGATGCTGAAAATTTACATGAATCAATAAACGATCTTGCTGTAGCCAGCGAACACAGAGTCATTATATTTACAATGCATGGCTTTGAACTTCAGTGATTCAAGACCATGCAGCTCTGTGGATTGGTAGATGAGTAGCGCCTGAAGATACTGGCAAACGAATTACAACATATGTTTGACCAAAGGGTGGTAGGGACGAACTAATACGAGCTTTTGCAATGCTGCAGAAGCTGTCGGTTGCCTTTGATTGAACTGCAACTGGTTCAGGCGGCTCAGGCAGCCCCACGCCTCAGACCTGACAGCAGCATCCGTTATCAAAACTGCCACAGTCTATGCTTAGTCATGCTTTCAGTAAGACAGATTTTCCTGTGTGAGTGTTAGACGTGGAGGACAACAAGGGGATCTCAGTTTTAGGAAGAAGATTCACCAGAATCACGGAGACGCCAGTGGCCTACTATCACTGTGTGAGTGTGCCAGACGGATCGGTTTTACTGGACGGCTTTAACTGGCTCAGGAGATGCAAGTGAGAGAAAACAAATCCCCTATTGTCAGGGCATATGTTCCACTAGGTCCAAGTCCAATCTGTATCAAACACAACAGTGGAGGCGGGGCAGAGGTGGGAGGATGATATAACAAAGTTTGTGTGTGTGTGTGTGTGTGTGTGTGTCAGTGTTCCAGTCAGAAGGGCAGGAAGCCAAGTGCAATGCTGCAAGCTTACGTAGGTTCCCTGGACTAACACTGCAGTCACATGACCACAGCGTACAACCGGCTGTGTTTACTTCGGTTGGCTGGAGCCTGTAAAACTGCTCAGTCACCCAACCGTTCATGGCATCCAAAGCACAGAACAAATGCGATGTGATGTATTTCAGATTGCGTGGCTTCAGAAAAATCCACGAGTCATGGGGTTCTCATTATGTGTAACGATAAAAGTTATGTGTCACTGCAGTCAAACACCAAGAGCAGTTTTCTCTTACTAATTAGTCATTCCACGAAAATTAGTGTGACGATGATGTTTTCGCATTTTTCCTTAATTCAACAGCTGCTGGTAGAGACTACATATGTGGAGATTTGCAAGAAAGGCGCCTGGCGAGAGTCAAACGAGGACATCACACTCGGGTGGCATGTGTCTAAACCACTAGACCGCCAGAAAACAAAAAACACCCTAAAATCCAGAGCCAGTTCCATGAAAAGTCAGACTGCATTTACAGCAAATATTAGCAGAGGGGGGTTTGTGTCCATGACAAAAAGAATTGTTTTTGCAAGTTTCTTTAGGAAACACAGCAGTGCAAAATCTCCAAGAGGTGCCTGTTATAATTTTACATGCCTCAGAGAAGGTGGGGTCGCCAGATTTTTGTACTTTTGTGCTTCTGCCATGTGTTTGGAAGATATTACACAACTATTGTTAACTATTTCAATCTTTTAGCTGAAGCCTGGAGTGTTTAACTGGTTGTAGATTAAAGGTTTCTATTCCTTCAAATGAGTCTGTGTTGATATTTCATATCCATTGACTTTATTGGTAGCCATCTGGTGCACTGTGGTGGTGTGTACCGTCCTGGCAGACACCACAGAGCTCATTTTGTCATGGAGAGGGCGACGCTGGTAGCGTAGTCACTGATTTGTCCTTGTAACCACCACTATTCAACAGTGTGTACGTGAGGGGTATTTCTGGAAAGAGACGGTTCCTGAGGACATCCATGGTGTCACTTCAGGTTTATCAGCGTCGCCCCCTTTGGGTCCAGCTGGCTGAACGCTTCTGAAGAGCATGTGGGTCAACCAGAAATACTCTCCCCCTGTGGCTTTTCATGACCCTCATCTTCCTTTCCTGTATTTCCTGTTAATCGTGCATATTTCAGATTCAGGCTACAAGAAGGTGCAAATTCGTGGCATCGAAAAAACATTTCTTTGGATTTTTTTTTCTTTGCAGGCAAAATGACATCACGTTCACATTCAGACATTTTTTTTAAAGAAAAAATGTGGCATTCAATTATAAACACTGACTTGAGAACTTAAAATAAAACACTTAAAGGCTCTTTGTTTTTAATAATGCTAGCATGAGGGCATGTTAGCCACTTGTTAGCAAAGTTAGGTACTGACACAAACTGAAATACTGCACATGGTTGCTAAGGATGTTATCATGCTACTGTTAGCATTTAGCTTTACAGTACTGTTAGCATTTAGCTTTACAGTACTGTTAGCATTTAGCTTGCTAAGTAAAGTGCCCCCCCAATCGATGTAGATTTCAGGGGCAACACAGAGGATACCCCTCAGTATTTTTCAAACACGTCAAATAAAAATATGAAAGAAACTGACAACTTTCAGCTATAATACTAGCTATAACGTTACTTGTAGATGCAACAATGCCTCCCGCCTTACCCAAAGCATAAATATGAATTATGAGCTCATACAACAACTGAATCTGCTGTGATATTAGAATCATTTAAAGCCTTTAACAAGATCCTCTTCTGTAGTTGATTTGATTTATCGGTTATTGCCAAAACGTGTTGTGTTTTCATTACAACATAGTTGAAATGTACACGATTCCACACAATTGCTCATGTTCAAAACTCCTCACGGTTTTAACGAGAGCCATTAAAGTGCAGCCGGTTATAAAAGACGTCAAATGAGTTCATTTATCATTGATTAATATGTGCCATATGTACAAAAACAAAAGAAACAAAAGAGGACAAAAGAGATCACGCCTGTGTGCATGTTGACTCAGCAGGGATAATATTACATGACAAAAGTTGATCGACAGGAGAATATTTTAAACTAATACAGAATGCCTGAGGGCCATACTGCAACATAGTGCATTGTATGTTTAATTGTCACCTGTGCCTGAATGTTTTGGGGCAGTTTACCAACAAAGACAATTACACCATAAACTGTTCTAGAATTGGTATATAAAAATTCACCAGAATGCACAAAATTAAGTGTTTAATGCTCATAATTACCCTCACTCCTGCTTAATGTGCCCCATCCCAATGATCTAATGAAACCTATACACCTATGCCTCCTTCTTACTGTAAAGTGCTGAACCATAATAAACCATTCTCCCATCAACCATCCATTCCTTGATTAGATTAAGTGTTTGGTGTCTGAAGTTGAAGTGGTTTTTTACTAATCAACAGATATTTCTTAAAATATTTTGAGAACTGTTCTTCTAGATATGCATAAAACCCCTAAAGGTAATCTGCAAAATACATTAAAACTGTACCAAAACTGCAAAGACAGTACTATGTTTACCATTTACAATCTTGTTCGACTTCACAATTTGTCCAAGTACCGTACAAAATCAAAATAATGCAAAAAAGTGTGTCTCGTTTTAAATGCTGAGTCAAATGCTGAGTCAAAGCAGCCTTCCTTGTAGATTAATCCCCGCCACAGAAAGAAATTACCCCTCTAGTAACATTTGGCTGTTGAAGTAAAACTGGCTGGTGATGTTGAATCTCATCAGCAGCTGTGACTGAGGGATAAAAAGGTTAGTTTCCTGCGCTACAATATCAAATGAGTGCTGAGTGCTTAATGTCCCTTGTCGTTAAGAGGGAATCTACTTGAGCATAATCACAGGGCATTAATCATCTACCAGCAGCTCACAGGCAGAGAGGGAAGAAACGAACTGTGTCCTCGAGCTATTCACCAGGCTCTTTATAATTGCAGATTGTGAATGGACAGGGAGCTTCCTTCCCCACAGATGCACACGTTTTGTTCTCCACTACCACCCCAGTAACGACGGCTTGACATCGTGTGTCAGCTGTAGATGCACACGCAGTCCGCCGATGCTTTATGATGTGCAGTCCAGTCCTTCAAGCCTCATCTGCAAACTAATCCAACCGGAGACGTCTGACGAGCTCCATATCAAGTCATTTCTTCTACGGCAAGATTATATCCAGAGGCTCAGGCAGCAATACTTCAGCAGACAGACATCCTCGCTGGATAAACAACTGAGTCATGAAATGAGCTGCATCATGTGGTGACTCTCCAAGGGTGCAGGAAGAGGCTGGAAAGACTGTTGATGATGTTTAAATGAAATGAAACCACGCTATGCAGCACATACTATATCAGATGGAAGTTGTGGCTGCGGTGACAAGTAAACATTTGATAATATTGTGCCTAATTCTGCTTGATGAAGTATTTCTGAGCGGAAACCCAATGGAAATCAGTCAAATTCTGACCAGCATTCACAGTATGTTTCAAGAAGACATCCTGTATATATCGCTGCATATAACCAGCTGTGATGGAGCCTCGGGCCAATCCTTGGACTACAAGGACACAGAGAGAATGAGGAGGGGGGCTGGTGGTGGTAGTTGTAGGTCGTGGCAAGCATAAGTTATCGTGTGACAAGAGGTGGACTTGACATATCTTAATCCAGCCACCTACTTTGCTTTTCATCCTGGGTTTTGGAATTGTCTTCTCTAATCTATATATGAGACAGATATATCAAAGAGATAAAAATCTAATCTTATGACTTCAAGTATCCTGAAGGAAGAGGCCAGATGGGGTTCTGTCACTAGTCAAGTCGAATCAAGTTATTTAAATAGCACATTTAAAACAACAGATGTCGACCCAAATGCTTTCCAATAGAGAAACAAGATTATTTCTACAAATGTACCTCACTAATTTAAATATTGAAGTTAAGCTCCTACAATGTTGTGTACTGAATAATTAAAATCTAACTAGCTCCTTATGTCGTCACTCTGCTTGTTGAGCTCATACACACTGAGCCAAATCCCTCTGCAGCACCAATGTCCTTTTACAGCAAGCAAACACACACATTACCTCTTTCTGAGTTGCCCTGTGTCCTTTTCCTACTTCAGTATCAGCTAATCCCACTATACAATCAGATCTAGACACCTAAACAAGGATGCATTTGTCAGAAGCATTTGGTGCCGTTTATGTAACAACCCTAAATCCTGTGTCAGTATTCAGCCCTATGAATCATTTTTTTTTAGTCTCATCTTGTTGTTTCAAACGCTGAACTTCAGGGGGTCAGGGTCAGGCCTCCCCTCGGGGCTGTTTTGCAACAAGGACACAGTATTCTGACAACGCTGAAAATTTGTGAGACAGCATGAGGATCCCTGGCTTACATCACTCTCTGCTGCAGTGGACAGAATATCGATGAGCGCAGCCATATGAGACGTCTGAAATGAGTCTCAGTGGCTCACTGATGCTTATGAAATCTTTATGAAAAAGATTTGGAAAACTTGCTATATTTATAAATAAAAACACAACATCTTGTCTTGGGGACTTTGTTTCAATATGACAATGAATACCAAATTCCCACTGTGAGAAGTGTTAACACCAAAAGCAAAAGCCTTTCTTTTCTGATTGCATTATGTTCATACACATTACTGCAATCAGCTGCACTCACCGAGTGACTGGAATAAAATGGTATGCGTTATGCATGCGGAGTCCTGTCATAAAGATCACGTTTCACAATGACCTTAAGAGCAACACAGTCTTAAAAACCTTTGTGTGCTAGGCCACACTAGCAGGCTACACAGTCAGCAAGTTACATTAGCTCCTTTCCCACATCACATGTGAATAAAGAGCCAGTTATCCGTGTAATATGTTGTGGCACATTGCCAAACTTGGAACAGCGGTAAGACCTTTCGAATTTATTTTTACCACAGTTCTTGCAGAAAAGCAAAAAAGCCAGTCACAACAGACTAAAGCTGGTTGTAAGTAATGGTCTAATCTACCGTGAATGTTTGTGCCATGTAGGAACACAGGAGGGGTGGCTGATATGAATAAATAAATCCTAAATTCATTTACCTTTATATCACAATGGAAAAGAATACATAATTATTGGAAATTGTAAGAGGATAAAATAGTCTTACATAAATATTTTAGGGCTAATCCAGAAATGCAATACCTGACAACTGTCCAACTCATTGATCTACAACACTGCCTAAAATAGCCAACGACCTCCAAAGATGTAGGGGACATAAATAATACGGTATCAAACAGTAGACATCTCTGGCAGTAGACAAATGTATATTATTTATAATATTTTATTGTAATCTGTCAATTATCTATTAAAGGAATAGGTTAACATAACAAGCTCACATTCTTAATGACTTCATTGCCAAGTCTCTTGGAGGAGTTTCTGTTTGAAATAAATACATAATGTGAGATATAATGTGTGACTTAGCAAGCTTTAGAATTGTTACTGCCATAAACTGTACATAAAAGATGGACCCAGTGACCACAACATCACCCACCGGTTTGAGAACTATTGTTTTAAAGCTCCAAGTTTGATATTTGGTCATCGCCATCTTGCTCTTTTTGAAACTGGAGCGTATGAGTAAACAGTGGATGTGACTGTACTGAAATTAAGGACAGCACACTCAGCAACCTGTCAATCACAAGGCAACCCTGCCCTAAAGCATACCCTGGTTTATTGTCTATTTTACTCTAATCGGGACCATCGTTAACGAAACAAACATCGTGCTGTATACACAAAGTCTTGAAACTATTGGTTGATAACTTAAACTCATTAGTAAAATGTTTGCTGTGGTAACAAATCAAGTTAGAAGTGGGGTAATTTTCTCATAGACTTCTATACAATTGAACTTCTTTTGGGAACCAGATGAGTCGCCCCCTGCAGGCTGTCCAAAAAAAGGCAGGTTTAAGGAACTTCTGTGTCAGTTCACTTTTAAGACCCGGCAGCTTAATTATATAATTACTCTGGACATATCTAAGCTAGTTGTTTCCCTCTACTTTCAGTCATTATGCTAAGCTATGCTAACCAATGGCTGGTTGTAGCTTCACATTTAACTTGCAGACAGGATCAGTTAATTGGTTTTTGACTATAAAATGTCCATTTCTAAGAGACACAAGAACTAAACCCTAAGATATTTATTTTACCATTATATAAACACTTTATATTATATATATTAACACATTTCTATTTGAGAAGCCACAGTTTTTTTTTGGTCTTTTTGTTCCTATGTGTTAAGTAAACATTTCAAATAATAATAATTATAGCATACTCAGTAAAAACACCACTCTGCTGCATGACCATAATGGGTTCTGCAGAGGAAGATACTTTGCTAAACCCTGTGTGTTGTTTTAACTTACCTAAGCAGGCTCATTCAACTTGCCTTTATTTGGATAAATTTCAGCATAATTATTTAAAGACCTCTGTCAACACCAATCTTAAATTCTGGAGAGGTACTTAGGTTAATGCTATAAAGGATTTGTGTACTAATCCCCACACGATGACACTGAAGCCGTATCTTCATCGTGCTGCCTTCCTCCAGGGTAGCTCATGTTTTGCCTGATGTAGAAACATAATCATGAATTGCAAGCCAGAGGAGAATGTGAGTCTTCAGGATCATGGTATGGGGCGGTCGGCTGCCCTCGTGTCTGTTTTCAAACAGGCCACAGAAACCTGCCTGGCAGGTGGCAGATGCTTATTGTATGCGAGAAGTATAGAATGCGATGCGACTCGCTTCCTGCCACTTAATACCTTCCATATCTGCACAGAGCCATACAGCAGGTTTTTCCAGTCAGGATTTATGGGAGTAGGTGAAAAGCCAGAACATAAAATGAACAACATTATAACTGGGACAGAGTTAACTGGCTGTTATAGCACAACACAACTCAATAGTAAACACAAATACCCACTATCACAGCTAATACATGTGTGGCTGATGCTGAGCGGACACGATGGAGACGTGACCTTTACGTTTCAAGACAAGGATCTTGAAACCTAAAGCTCTTAGATTACATCCTACAGGTACAACTATTTAATAAGACATGTTTGTCTTTTGTTATCTAAGTGTCGTGTTCAAAGGTTCATTAACAATCTTTCAGTTGATTAGCATATGCCCCAGACACATTTAGAAAAACAGATTGCTCTGCACGCTGACACAGCGACTAGCAGATATTTTATTGTGATGAGTAAACTCACAAAGCTTTGGCTCACACACTCGGTTCACAAACTAAACACCACATGGGCAAACAGACACAGGCAGCTTGCCTCTGTCTCCTCCACCACTAACGCACATGCCCAGTCTGGAAAATTATCTCGCAGTGAACATCAGACACCTTATGATTGCTGGTTAAAAGCCCTGTTTTTGCTTCTTTTTAGTACAGCAGCTACTTTAAAGTCCTTCTACTGGGGATATAAAGCATTTCATAAGCTGAAAGGTCACACAGTCATCGGATAATAAACCCACGGAGAAGCAGGCATTCGTCTCTCACTTACAAAAACTATCCATAGCTACCTCCTTCTTAAAAAACACAACACTTTTAAAGCACCCTATCGAATTTCCTAAGAGCCTCTCTCTTGTTTTACTGTTGCCAAGCAGTTATGTAGTGTAATGTATTGCGATTCACTTTATATGATTGTAAAACCATTAAATTTGACGGTAAATACAGTGTAGCTGGCACCTGACAACTCCAGTAAACTAACTGTCATTAAAGACTCCAAAGTTCACTCAAGGTTCACTCCAGTGTTGTGGAGTTTCTCGGTAGCTGACAGCCACAAAGGTCACGATGCATCAACTAATTAGGCTGCTGTAAGATAACTAAGCTGGCATTCTCCCAGTTCCTACAGTGTACCGAAGAGAGGCATTTTCAACCACTGAGACGTCTTCTTACCAGCACAAACTGAGGCGAGATGAAAACCGATACGATGAAAGCTCACAAGGCTAAATGCTGCATAGCAACACATATGTGGAATGCAGAGAAAATTCAAAACAGCACTTTAGAGTCACATGAAGAAACGTGAAGCGTTCAAAGCTCTGTGCTCCACTTTAGATGTTTTCAATTTTATCCATCATAGAGACATCTGAGCCCAGTTTTAATTTGAAGCGTGACAATGACTGCAAACGCACAGACAGAGTCATAAAGAAGCAACTTAAGCAACAAGAACAAGAAGGAGTTGTGAAACAGATTGTCTGGTCCTGGTGTCGGCATCGTAGAGTCAGTTTGTGGTTGCATGAAAAGACAGAAGCAAATGAGGAAATATCTTGAAAGCGTGTATCTGAGAGAACTGCTGCTGCATCCTCACTTTAAGTTCTAAAATTTAAAAAAAAAAACCTATTGAAGAATCTTATATTCAAGCTTTCCTGCTGTCTTTTGTTGGCTTGTCTTTCCATCTGGTTGCTAAAAACAGGCCCCATCACTGAATAAACATTTCTTTGGTGTTTACTCGAACATCTGAGGACAGGCTTTCAATCAGCAAAGGTGAGGTGACCCCTATGAATCAGAATCGAGTGCCGTTTGTTGTGCACGTTCAACCAACGGGATTGATCCGACCCCTTTAAACTCACCTCCAACTCATCTTTCACCCAACACACACACACACACACACACACACACACACTCGGCTCATAAGTGGGGGGTTGGAGGATTCATCTCCTCTTGCGCTGCTCACAGGAAACACCTGACTGTGTGGCAGACTTTGATTCGCACACATCAAAGAAGCTATTTAAAAGCAGAAAGACCTTTAGAAACTTACGATAAGCCTCTAACAAGTGGCAGACTGCTAAGTGTCTGGAGTGCTGACCACAATGAATCAATCATTAATGTGTGAGGCCGCGTTGTAACTTCCTCTGATACTAAAAGTAAAGGTTATGAGCCGCAGGAAAGGTCAGACCTCCATTCTTCTTTCTTGGGTGACAACATTCCCAAAGTGATGGAAGACGCACATCCATCCCCCCCCCACCCCCTCCTCCATCAGACTATTTTTGTGAGGAGTGGGTGTTACTGAGGCTGTGCTGACTGGTCTTGCCTCTCGACTCTTTTGTGCATTGATTCAGAGCTGTTACGCAAGGCTCTGCCCCCCCATCCTCTTACCGATTAGAGACACTCTAACTCCCACACCTCCACCTCCCTGCCCACACGCACTTCCAGCGCACATGGGCACACCAACTGTATCAGCTCCTGCTTAAGTATTAATGCCTCTGCTTAGCGGAGTAACCTTAGGCGTACTCTTCTACACACTGCCATCATGTTTGCTCAGCTTTAATCTGCAGCATGATGTGTGATACACCTCCTTTGATTACTCACCCCGTGTCTGCAAGCCTGCTCGTTCAGAGCCTTCACCCAGGTCCTCTGCCAGTGCTCCCTGAAGGACTTGAAGGAGAACAGAGAGGTCAACAAGCCTTTAACCCCGGCCTCTGATGCAGCTCCTCCATCCCGGCCGGCGCGGAGCTTCAGGAGGAAGCTCCACACACCTCCAGCCAGGCTCTGAGGGGGCTGTGTGAGCTGCCAGGCTGCCTCCTTCCTGACCTGCTTAGCAGCAGCCTTCCTGGATCTCCACAGCCGCAGCACAGTCAGCGAGTACTGGAACAGCCATCCCAACACGATGAGCAAGGAGGCGAGGAAGAGACCCACCAGACACAGCCAGCTCAACTCCTGGAGCTCCATCAGCGCCTCCTGGAGCCTCTCATATCATCAGGTCCAGATGGAAATATCAGCTGGAGCAGATCAGCTGCCTTTAACCTGCGAGTGGCAGCAAACACAGTGAGCCTGGTCACACTGATGCATCCTCAGAATGCAAAGAGATGAAGGCTGCAGCCACCTTAACTTGCTTATTTTAGAGGATGACAATAAAGCAGCTTGAGTGTGCATGGAGCAGGAGCTCCGTGCGTTAAGGCTGCGCACATCTACAGACATGAACCATGCAGGGAGCAGAGTGCGATGCAGCGCAGGTTAATGGAGAAAACTCAACAACTGCAGCTTCGTACCAACCTGAAGTTTAATTTAAACGTTCCGAGCTGCGGGATGCAGGTGATCGAAAGAAGCTGGCTTCATGGCGAAATGGAGCGGCTCCAACAACAAATGTGTCTGTCCCATGTCCGAGTGTTGAGCGAGGTTTCGGCTGGCGTCTCTCTGCTCTCACGGATCGCTTCAAAAACAAGCCTTGTGCTCTGTTACTGCATTACAGGCTCCAGCGGGTTTAAAATCTGCGCTGATCGTACCCTCCTACCTCTGCAGCCCCTTCACAGCGACGATCTGACAAAGAGCAGCAGTGACCTGCAGGAGGCGCTGCAGGAGGACAGCGGAGAGGAGAGGAGGAGGCGAAACACACGGCTTTCAAAATAAAAGCACTCATTTAAAAAATATATATATTTCAGATCAATTTCAGTTGAATTTTTGGAATGCTTCTGCTCTACAGTGAATTTTCACCTCTCAAATATAATATCAGGTCCTGATTTTTACTGCCCTATGACAAGGAGAGAACTTGTGTCAAAATCCACTTTAATAGACTTATTTTTGGATGAGATTATGATGTGCCCATAGTGTAAAATCTGTTCCATTTAAGTCATTTTAACCTATATAATTCACAACATAGGTAATCTCAAAGCACATCAAATAGTAAGGTGATGATATTATGGAACATTCAAGAGAAACCCAACAAATCCAAATATTTCCTTGGATTCAATGTAAGTAAGCATTTGGCAATCACAGGAAGACAAAATTGACCCCTTCTCCAGGAAGAAACCTGGTAGTCATCTGCCTATAGACAGAAGACTGACAAACAATGCATAAGAATAACATAAAAACTTAGGAAGTCAGAGAGATCAGTAGCTGCAGATCAAAAATGTGCACCCCAGCAGCCAGACGAACCTGACGAGGACAAAACACAAACTACCGGAAAGAGAAGATTCAATGTTAATGACATTTAGTGGTGGCATATAAATGTATGAGAGCGAAAGAGAGTAGATCACAGGCACTCAGTGCATCGTAAGCAGCCCTACAGTAGCTTCGGCCTATAACAATATAACTGGAGGATGGTTTATAGTCACCTTAGCCAACCAAAAGCATTAATAAAGAGGACAATTTTAAACCTAATCTTAAAAGTAGAGAGGGTGTCTGACATCCATGCAATGTAGTGGAATTATGAAGTAGCATTAAATGGAAACACTCAAGCAAAGTACAAATGCCTCAAAATTGTACTTAAGCACAGTATTTGAAGACTTGGTGTCTTTCCACCACTGCATACTACTTAATAAATGTTAGTTTCACAGGTATTACGCCAGCATTACACAAAAAAATAAACAAAGAATATTGGGGGGGGGGGCTTAAATAATAAAATTAAGTTACAAAGAAAGAGCAATAAAAAGAAAAAAAAGAAAGAAAATGAAAGCGCTGAAAAAATATACTTTTTGTCAATAGACGGCAGAATTTCCTCATTCCAAGGACAGACCAAAGAAGAAGACGCTACTTCCGTGTTACGCTCTATCCATGACGTCATTACGTTTTGTACGGAGCCGGAAGTTTACCTCAGCATTTCTTTCCAGTTGTGAAATGTGAGCAACAAAGCAATGCAGACAGAGCTGTTTTAAGCGCTTATCTAATGATGTTGATATCCTATAAACGCAACAAATTCAACAACTATGCCGATGATTTCTTTTATTAATGTTTAATTTCCACAGAGGGACGAGCAGCGCCGTTTAATTACGTTTTACTTTGAAGAGCTTTACCGGAAGTATTACCTCGCTGTAACCTGGGGATTTGACGGTTAAACTGAAAACAGACGTGGAGTTTCGGCAGGAGGGAGTGTGTGGTTTATAGCATCCATACTATGGAATGAATCATGGTATGGATTACCATTGTGACCTATGGACTCGTTTTCCCGTGACCACGGACCTACGGAGATGTATTCTGTTCTGAAATGACGGCATGACATGTTTTTACCTCCTTGAAAACAGCCGAAGCTCGTCCATCGATCGCCCGAAGAGGCAACGTCAGATTAGCTAGAAACCTGATTTGATCTGTCAGAGACAAACCCACCAAAACGACTGGAAACATGTCACCGATACCCGTCCTCCCGCTGGTGATCAACGGGCTGTTGTCTGTGCTGGGCTGCCTGGCCACACTGAAGCTCATTCCTGCTTTCAAAGATCACTTCATTTCAGCCAGATTGTACGGAATGGACCTAAACAAAACAAACAAGAAAGAAATGTGAGTCTTTTTCACGTGTCCTATATATTATTTTTATTGTTCAGTAGTTTATTTTTAATGATATGTAACCAATGTGCTCTTTTTTTCTGTTTTCTCTTCCTGGTTTCCCTTTTTGCAGCCCAGAATCTCAAGGAGTGATCTGTGGGACGGTCTTCCTCATCATCCTCTTCTGCTTCATCCCAGTGCCTTTCCTCAGCTGCTTTGTAGGAGAACAGTGCATGGGCTTCCCACATGATGAGGTGGGTCCACTGTAGTATATTAAACCTGTGTTTCCCTCCAGTCTGACCCCCACCACCTCTGACCTTTGTCTGGTTTGTTGTCCAGTTCGTACAGCTGATTGGTGCACTTCTGGCCATCTGTTGCATGATCTTCCTGGGTTTTGCGGACGATGTGCTGAACCTGCGGTGGAGACACAAGCTCCTGCTTCCCACTATGGCTTCCTTGCCGCTGCTCATGGTCTATTTCACCAACTTTGGCAACACGGTCATTGTCGTGCCAAAGCCATTCAGAGCCCTGCTTGGGCTGCACTTGGATATGGGTGAGTTGTGTGATTGCTTGCGGCATTGGTGGCAGCAAGCTAGGAGAGGTAGACCAGACATCTATAGTTACATCCTCTAGTACACGCTGGGGAATCCTAAGATTGTACACGGCTGGATTAGATTTATATTACATCCATTGTTTTTATTTTGTCTACAGTGACTCTCTTGAAATATGAATACGCAGCGATACTTAAGACAAAATCAGTTTTCCATTTCAATATGTTAATAGGCATACGTAAACATTTTGAAAAAACACATCATAACTATTATCTGAAGTACTGCACCGAGGAAATCAGAATCAGAATCAGAATCAGCTTTAATGGCCAAGTACGTACACAACATACAAGGAATTTGGTTTCGGCTGTTGGTGTCGCCCTAGGAATTTGCACGAATAATAGAAATAGGAAAATTAAAAAATAAAGTAAAATAACTAAAGAAAGAAAAGAATAAAATACAATAAATATTAATAAAAAGCAAAACAAGATAATAAGACAAATATATACAAGAATTTACACATCTAGTAGAAAGGGGTAAATGTACATTAGTGCAAAATGGAAGTGCAAATAGCAGTTGTGGCTTGGAGTGGCTCAGCTGTTCAGTAGGGTTATGGCAGTGGGATAAAAACAGTTTTTCTTGACAATCTTGCAATCTTGACAGTTCTTGCAACTGCTGTATGAGTCACATTTTATGGAGAATTTTTACACTTCTATTTCAAAAAAATACATAAAAGTAATAATGTGATTTTTGCTGCAATCTGTACCAAGCAAGAATTTCCCCTTTGTCTTAAAAATCTGATTTATAGAATAGAGTATCCAAGTAGAAACACGATATTTCATTCACAATATTGTGATTTTACTTTTCTTTAAAAAATGCAGCTTCTGCAGTTTGGATATTGCGCATCCCTACTGTGATTTCAATAATATTTTGATTGATTATTCAGCCCTACTTGTTTTGCATTTAAGTCATTCTGTAAATGATGTAATTATGATCTCTTGCAGGTATCCTCTACTATGTCTACATGGGAATGCTCGCAGTATTCTGCACAAATGCCATCAACATCTTAGCAGGCATCAACGGTATCGAGTCAGGTCAAGCCCTGTTTATCTCCGGCTCCATAATCATCTTCAACCTGCTGGAGCTCAGTGGTGCGTGGTTGCTTTCTTTCACAACATCAACATTACAGGTCACACCATCTACACTGCTAGTGGACGAGTGTATTGGATATGGGTTTGTTAAAATCACCCTGAAATTAGTCAAAGTGTCTTTGAACTTGAACCACAATGATGTTCATTTGAAGGGGATGATTCATAAATGAGGATATTTTATGTCTTTTCTGACATACAGAAATGATTCATAACATTCAAGAAGCTGATGTTGGGTTTGTTGTGTTTCCTTATTTCTCAGGAGATTACCGTGATGACCATGTTTTCTCCCTCTACTTCATGATACCATTCTTCTTCACCACATTAGCACTTTTTTACCACAACTGGTACGTTAAAGCTGAGGCAGTTTTATGAAAAACATTTTCTGCATTTAAGAAATATTTACTATGTCAGCGTCCTTATATTCTGTCGACTTGCAACCTGTGTTTGTCTCAGGTATCCTTCATCTGTGTTTGTGGGAGACACTTTCTGCTACTTTGCCGGGATGACGTTTGCTGTGGTCGGCATCCTGGGGCACTTCAGCAAAACAATGCTGCTGTTCTTCATTCCTCAACTGGTTAACTTTGTCTACTCTTTGCCTCAGCTTTTTCGCATAATCCCCTGTCCCCGACACCGGCTGCCCAGGTAACCAGCTGCTTATGACCTTCTTTTTTTTCCCTAATGGCTTTTTTAAATTCATTATTTATACACATCCTTTGTGTTTCTCAACGTTTTCTTTCTCCTGATGTCACTTATCATAAAAGACTGAATCCAGACACTGGCAAACTGGGGATGAGCTACTCAAAATTCAAAATAAGGGACCTCTCTAAACTAGGACACCTCATTCTGAAGGTAAAGCTCTGATTTTTGTGTGTTTTTTTGAACATACTCACGTTGTTTTGGTAGAGATTCCAGCTAATTAGGCTCAGGGGATTGTCTGCTATTTGTTTTGTCTGATCAGCAATCTGTAGCCCAAAGAGAAAAGCAGCAAAGCCTCACTTTTGAGAAGATGAAATTAGAGAATGTTGGTGAATATTACTTGCTAATTGCTTTGAATGACTAAGCTGATTGTTTCTGCTCTACTTCACTTACATTGTCAGCGTGCAGCGACAGAATGCAGAGGCGTTATTTGATTTTGATGTAATATACATTTTCTCATGTACTATATGCACATCTTGCAGGTCATACATACCCAGACAGGGTTTTTTTTTTTCTTCAGGCTCACAATAGAGGGCAGCTACTGAGAGTAATTACCATAATCAGTCCACATACAAGATAGGCAACGAGTCTGTGTTACTTTATTTGTGAGAAATCTGTACATTTTGCTGCTATTTCTGTGCATGTGATTTAAAAAAAATCTTTTATGCTTACCCTATTTAACAGTAGTGGTTAAAAAATGTAAATACAATTGTTATTCTCAGTTCTTATGATTTTGGGGCTGGTTGTTTTCCTTTGGCACTGCTAAAGCTCTGTAAGCAACAGCAAGTGCCCCAGCAGAAAACATCGCATTTTTATAAAGTCATCACAACCGGAGTTTATTGTCACTGTTTGCAAAAAAATATGTAAGCTGTGTCCAACCACACACTAATTCTGTTAAGTATATTTCATCTGGGTAGTATATATTTATTGTAGGTGGTATGCAAGAAATGAAAGTACAGTTCTAATAATATCTTTTTTTGTAAGCCTTCGTCTCACCATCATAACTTTCTTTTGTGGGAGCCAAAAACTCCTGTAGGCACAAAAAGTCCTGCCAATGTGTAGCATGCACTTGCTGTGCAACTGGTAGTGTAACCTTCAGTATATTTATAATGTGATAAAACCTTCAGAAACTGCTGGCAGAATAGTGGATATCACACAGCAGCTTGCTCATCACATGGAGTTGTAATTTTATTTCACTTCATTATTAAATTCTGAATCACTGCAAAAACTGGAGAAGTGGAAGACATTTCAGACATGTGGTTACAAAGTTGTCTATTAATAAAGCGCATGTATTGACCGTTGGTGTGGGCGGGTAAACACACACACACACACACACACACACGTGAGGCAGAGCGGGGTCAGCTGTGTTTATTGGCTGATAACAATAATGTCTTTGCTCCTCAACAGACGGCAGAGTTATTGATGCTGCTCGAGGTGCGGAGGGGCCACGATGGAGACGGCGACTTTATTGAGTGCAACAACATGACCATAATAAATCTGGTGCTGAAATTCCTCGGACCCATCCACGAGAGAAATCTCACAGTCATCATGCTCATCATACAGGTAGAACAAAGCACCTGCTGTATACAAATACACTGGAACAGCCTCAGTCACAGGATAATGTTTGACTTATTTCTGTGTCTCGCTCAGGTGATGGGCAGCGTGGTGGCTTTTGGGATCCGTTACCATCTGGTGCGTCTGTTCTATGACGTCTAGACAGCTCTCCAGAATCGAGGAGCGACTGCTGATTGAGAAGAAATGATGTTGTGGAACTGTTTTACAGGGTCGTGGTTCATCTGCCTTTAATAGATTAAATCTCCTCGCTGTTACTTTTCTGCCTCAGACTGTACCTGCAGTAAAGACCCAGTGCAAGGTTTGAATCTACAGTGTATTTCACTTTGGTGGATGATATTTAATTCTTGAGCGTAAACAGGTAATGGTTTGATATCAGCAGCAGCACTGTTTGGATTTCAGTAATTACAGGCTTGAAATTGTATCTGGGTCTTAATTATCTTGTGTGTCCACCCTGAAAATATATTTTTCTACTTGCATTTTTTTAAAAGAAAGTACAGTAAGTGGGGTTAACTTTCGATCTTCAGGGCAGCCAACATCATTGGCTGAACTGCTCCTGAATTGTGATCATTTGATATCAGATTACTGAACATAGAAGTCCTGTAAAAAGAAAAAAAAGGCAAAAATGTCATAGTGCATTGCTTGAATCTCATTTTAAGGCAAAATATGGCTCAGAGAAAATGTAGCCACTCACATTTCACCTTGCATCATGATGAATCCATGTAACATGGGTTGGAACGCTAGGATTAGTTAGTATTTTTTATTTCTTTTACCTCTGAGCAAACGCACACAGAATGGTTATTGTGAAGAAAAACAGTAAACGATAAGAAGGCTTTAATCGGTTGGAAGACTATCACAGGAAAAAATGGTAGAGACAGGTGAGTAGAGGGGATATTAGATGGAATAGTGTCTGGGGTGTTGTCGAGTAAGTTAAGGTTTATGAAGAGCAACGGGTGTTCCGACTAATGAGAACTGATTGTTTTTACCTTTCCTGTTATTGGATACAGAACTGTATTTTTTTTTTTTTTTTTTGGACTGATATGCATTTTTTCCCCCTCAAGGGCTCAGCAAAAAATGTGAAGACAACTGGCACTGGACTATTTTGTTTAAGAATGTAACTACAAGTGAAAAACTGTTTACTGTTGAGATTAAAGACGCAAATTATGAAATAAAAGCTGGAAAAAATCAAATATAATTGTATTCCATCATTATTCTTATTCTAATAATAATAATTGTTATTATAGAAGAAGTATAACAAACATAATGTGTCTTAATTACATGTCACAATGGGAAAAAAATAGAAGTTTTAGCTCATCACAGCTATATTGCTTTCTGTATTTGTTTCAGTTAATAAATTATAAGAAATAGTCAGATATTTGATGACTAAATGTTTGAAGTGACAAAAACATATTATGTTCAGAGTCTTTAAAAATAAAATTGACCTTTTTGCTTTAGAAATCTTATTATGTAGTGTGGAGTGTTTTATTTGATAAATAACACTTGATAAACGGCTTCTAAAATGTGGTGCAGCAGATGTATACAATTGCATAAAATGAAAATACTTGTAGTATTTATAGTTAGAAATGTTTTTATTTAAAGTAAAACACAAATACGTCAAAAAAACACTGTTGAAAATTATGTTTAGTTGCTTCATAGATATATACATATCTATGAGTTGTTTAATATGGAATTTCCAGGTGGAACTCTTCATCTATACGTAGTTTCAGGGGGAACATTTGTGTTGCGCACAACCCGCGTTCTTGTGACTGACCAAAAAGAAGTGTGTTTACATCATTGCAGCGCTTGCTACTAACGTTTCCTCGCTGTTTTATTAAAGTTTCCCAGAATTTGTCGCTTTATATGTTTTTTTTCTGTTTACCGACATGTTCCCGGTGATGTTTGTAAAGTTTTATTAGAGCTGCTGGACGTTTTGTGGCGCGGTTAACAGGTACCAGCACCTGGCGTTAGCTAGCAGCTGGTAGATGGCAGGCGACGGTCAGCCGCTGGAAACAACGTCCGTAGCTCCAGCCTGGAGGCAAAACACACACATTTAACACAGGTCTGACTCACAGAGATGCCTCCTAACAAGAGGATGCAGAAGAAAGCGCTGAAACTGGACTGTGAATGGGGTTCGTGTCAAGAGTCGTTCAGTCGGATGGAAAACTTTTGCAAGCATGCAGAGGGTCATCTTGGTGCTGCGAACATGGCGGAGGAGGACGAAGAAGAAGCGGAAGGTGAGGGGAACTTTAGAATTATAATTTGAGGTTATGTTTATTTTGAAAAGTGGCTGTGGAAAGAAAGCGTCCTTCCATTACTGATCTGAATGAGTGCACCTCACAAGCAGTAGGACGTGGACGAGTATCACTGGTCATTGATCTGACTGAAGAGGGTGATGTCTTTAACTAAGCGAATCACTTGCTTCACTCAGTTTTATCTAAAGAATATCAGAAAACCCCAGAACAAGGAAGAAGTAATCAGGGGCTGAACATACAACCGACTTCAGATTGAAATTACTATTTGAAACAGTGCAGTTAAAGACTGCAATTAAGGATGTGCACCAAGTAGCACGTCTGACTCTGGGTTGAATACTTTTTATTATGTAGTTGGATTGTAGATTTTGCAAGGTTTAAATGCTGCTCCTAAACAATGAATGACCGGCCGATTTCAATGCAAGAGATTTTTTTACAGAGGCCATATTTTCATATGCACTTCGTATTTATACACTAAACCCCCACATGTTTACGTATGTTTCTATACTAAACTTCCACATGTTTACATATGTTTATACACTGAACCTCCACATTTGCATATGTTTACACACGACTGCATCTTTGCACTACTTGAAGTCATGACATTTTCATACATTTACAGCATAGTGCAATATCCAGAAGTTCAACATCAGTTACACTACTGTTTTATATTTCTGAATACACCAAATAATCGAACCTCACAACAATAAGCTATATCGCTATTTTCACAGGTACGCTAGTACATACACATTTTCAGCTAGATTTCTATTTTTAATATTTACACATTTCTCACTGTACCTAAAAAACATTATCTGATATTGTGGATGCACTGACCGTGTACCTTGTGCAATGACAGTAAAGGGATTGTATTATTTTCAAATGTTTTTTTTCTTATTTGATGTATTTTGTGTCTAATTATTATTGTCATTATTAATTTAACTAAACAGAGTGACAGCTTTTTTGGTCATTGCGCTATCCTCCGTTCCATTTACAAATACAATAAATACATGCTATAAACAAATTTTGATGGTATCTCATGTGGTAACGCTCCATCACATGTTTTAAATCTGTTACACAGTAAATATTTACCTGGAGCTTGATGCGCAGAATAATCGCAATTAGATATTTTCCTCAAATCTTTCAGCACTACTGTAGACCAGCTTTGGCAGATCACCACCAGAGAATAAGTATATGTTGGTGTTTTCCGGGTTTAGGCGTCCACCAGTAATTTATCACAGACGTTTTGCAGCTAGATTTTAAATGTGATGACTGGATATATCTTTACTTACATCCAATGTGCTCTCCTGCTTTACAGTGATGAATAACAAGAGATCGATGCATTGTACAGTCCTAAAAGAGAGAGGCCTCCTAATGCTTTGTCTTTGTTTCATGTTCCAAAGGGGAGAAAAACTGTTTCTGGAGAGACTGTGGCTTCTGTTCTGTTGAGGGCTCAGAAGAACTGCGACGACATCTGTTCTTTCACTGTTATCACACCAAGCTGAAGCAATTGGGTCAGCAGGTCCTCAATGCCCAGCCAGAAATTGGCAGCTGCTCCATCGCCTACCACAACCGCAACATCATCCCTGAAATCCCAGACAATTTTATCTGCCTGTGGGAGGATTGTGAGGTAAAACTGAAAGATGCCTGAGGGTGCTGCTTGGGGGTGTGTTTGACCATCTAATTTACAGAATGTGCATGTGTAGTACTGAGTGTGCTTCAGCTAATACGAGCTTGCATTGTATGGAAAGCATCTCTTTGCTGTCTCCATCTGTAAAAAAACAAAAAACAAAAAAGCAACAAAGAACAGTATCTTGCCATCTTTTAATTACTTTACTTAACATGCTGTGTAGCCAGGATATTACCGTTTGTGAGACTGAGATTCAAATGATACTAGATTCAAAGCAGTGATGGTAGCGTGACTTGAACTCTGAGTGCTCACAGCTCAGACAAATGTGGTAAATCTTCCTTGAACCTTTTTCTTTTTAACCTTAAAATCTTAATATGCGCATTTATTAAAGCAACCACCGTATGACAACCCGGAGTGGTTCTACCGACACGTGGAGATGCACAGTCAGTGCATAGACATACCAACAGGAGACTGTGAATTGCCCATACGCTGTGGATGGAAGGGTACGTTACTTAACTTGATGATGTACATTTTCTATGCAACACTGAGGATGTGGGATTATTGAGTGTAAGTTGTCCGTCTGTCATTCTCCAGATTGTGAAGCCACAGCTAAAGGGCGTCCGAAGCTGCGCGAGCACCTGCGCAGCCACACCCAGGAGAAGGTCGTGGCATGTCCTGGTTGTGGGGGGATGTATGCCAACAACACCAAGCTGTTTGACCACATCATACGACAGAGCGCCATGGAAGGTGAACCCTGTCAGAATAATGCCAGAAAGACTCATAACAATGTTTGCTCTTTTTTTTTTATTCTGTTTAAATTTGACCATCTCGTAATTCTTGCTTTGTGTGTTTGCTTGTATATGTGCTGCAGGTCAGAGGTTCCAATGTTCTCACTGTTCCAAACGCTTTGCAACAGAAAGACTACTGAGGGACCACATGAGGACTCACGGTCAGTGCTTCCCTCATAATGCTATCAGTATTGCAAGTCATTTCCTCTTATAGCCACAGGGTCTCACTGAGCTCCAGCTCATTTGTGTTGTCACTTTTTCAGTCTCCACTGGAACGGTTTGTTGACATTCTCTGTGTTTTACAGGATATTTAATATGTTTTTGCAGTTCATAAAGATGATTTGTGTCGGTACTTGAATATGCCAACCCTCCATGCCTCTAAACCTCTCTGTCATGGTCTCATTTTAAATGTTGCTTTAGCCAGTCTCACAGCACGACTGCTATTATTAATGGGTTTCTTCTTATTTTGTCATAAACGGTAGTAATAATATAGTAAGTATTTAATCTGTTGTACTCCACGTTGGTAATGTCTGCTGGTTAACAAAGTAGCTTATTTCTGAGCTGTGAGCATATTTTTCACTCAGTTGCAACATTTACCAGCAGAATTAGAAACTTGAATAAATGACAAAGATGATATTATGATTTCAGCTGCGTTAAAACACAGTTCAGGTAATCACAGACAGCAGGATGGGTCAGAATGATGTTGCTTCTATCCCTTGAGACTCAAAACCCGTTAAAAAAACAACCAGTTCATATAGTAGCATTTTCACTGATATTAATATTTAGTCGACACTAATCATATTCAGGTTTGCAGCTTTTTGTTTGTTGTGTTTTCGAGTTCCTTTACCATCCCTGGTGTTGCCTTTAAATTCATTCATTTGATGTTGAACTCAGAAAAATTAGTTCCTGGTTCTGAAAGTTCAGGTTAAAACCCTCTCAAGTTGGACTCGGAAAGTTAGGGAAAATTTCGGCGCACAAATGTTCAGAAACATAGCTGACAACAGTTAATGGTTAGTTGATGATAACTTTGGATTAATCGTTCAAGTTCACATTTTGCATATCATTTTTTTGCTAACATATAATTTGTATTTTTGTATTAGGTTGTAATGATTACTTACTGTCCTCGCTGAATGACCTGTTAGAGTTAGAGATGTCCGATAGTATGCCTGATATTGGCATAAAAATGTAACATCTGTCAATATCGTTATTGTTTTTTTTGTTGTTGTTGTTTTGTGCCTATAATGAAAACCAATAAAATAAGGCCTGGATTTCACCAGCATTTACCGGCGCGTAAATGATGATGACAACATCAAACTGCATCGGAAGGAGTGTGAACAAGTGTGGCTGCAGTAACAAACATATATCGGTATCGGTTGATATCGGAATCGGAAATTGAGAGTTGGACAATATCTGCATATTGGAAATTGGTAAAAAGCCAATATCAGACATCCCTAATTAGAGTTCATAGTTAGGAAATTATAGTTATCATTAGAAAAGTTATAGATTAACAGTAACAAGAAGACGAGCTTTCTTCACTTATTGTGGCCACAAATACTAGAAACAGACATCAATGCGTTGGTTAAAGTCGTGTCTATCATGTTTCTGAGCACATGAACACACTGACATTCTATCAAAGGAACCTGTGAATGCACTATTAAATCCTTACACATTTGAATTTCTGCACGTAAACATGAATAAACAACATTTAGACTCAACTCTTTAGACCCCTGCATACACTGAGCAACTCAAATTGCAAGAAAACCTCAGCAATAGATGTTTATGTTGTTATAGCAACAGTGTCAAGTTTTAAAATAAATTATTTCACAAGTATTTCTTGGCTTGACACAACCAGAAGTAAAAATAGGCTTTTATGATGTCTATTTTTGAGCAGTTGAACAGCGATGCACTCTCCTGTAAGTGAATGAAGGAATCTTGTTGACAACAAGCAGCTCTGCAGTATTATTAGTTATATATAGATGAGTTCATCTCAACACTCATCTGTCTTGTTCTTGTTGGAACAGTGAGCCACTACAAATGTCCATTGTGCGACATGACTTGCCCGTCGCCCTCTTCGCTGCGCAGCCATATCAAGTTTCGCCACAGTAATGAGAAGCCATACAGCTGTGACTACTGCGAATACAGGTATCACAACACGTAAGGCTGCGACAATACAAATCAAGCTGAAGCCGGTAAACTGACATTGAGGGTTTTTTGCGTTCTGTGTTTGTAGCTGTAAGAATTTGATCGACTTGCGCAAACACCTGGACACCCACAGCAGCGAGCCGGCTTTCCACTGTGACGTCCCCGGCTGTGGTTTCACCTCTCGCACTCTTGGCACCATGAAGACTCACCATAAAAGAGAGCATGAGGTGATTTTTAATTAACTGCCAACTGTTACTTCCATAGTAGGGTTTTAATGTTGTTCATTAATGGCTTTCTAATATTTTCTTTACATAATCAGGGGAGTTTTGTAGCCCGCTACAAGTGCCATGTGTGCGGCCAGTGTTTCACCAGAGGCAACAACCTAACCGTCCATCTGCACAAAAAACACCAATTCAAATGGCCCTCTGGACACCCCAGGTTCAGGTTAGTCTTGCACTGATGCAAATTAAGTAATACTTGATTTTAATATGTGGACTATTGCAGCACTGATTGTCTCTTATCACTCTGTCAGGTACAAAGAACACGAAGATGGTTTCTTGCGACTGCAGCTGATTCGCTACGAGAGTGTGGAACTCACAGAGCAGTTGATGAGGGAAAGACAAAACAGGCAAGGGGAGGAGGACGACGACAGTGGTCAGACCGAAGGTCAGGAGATGGAGGAAGACTCAGCAGGGGCAACTCCTTCAGAGGTGCAGGCAGAACTGAGAGGAGTGCTGCTGGAGGAGCAGAGGACTGAGGAGCCGACCACCAGCCCTGCGGATGGCGGTCAGGAGGAGGGCATGTTGTATGTCCTCACTGGAGGTTTGTCACAGGGAGGGGAGGAGTCTGTCATGTTGCAGCTGCAGGATGCTGCTCAGCAACCAGGGATGCAGGTGGTTTGACTGGACACACGTCTATAATCTGCTGTGCTGCTTCTTCTGTGAAGGACTTTTGAGTGTGTAACGGAGGCTGGTGCAAAGATGCTGCTTAGATTTTAAAATGTGTTGAGGCATTTGACTTGAATCATCAGAATAAAGGGACACGGTCTGTGGTGGCCAATCTTGACTATAAACCTATATTAGGTAATACAACTGTTTTGCTGTGTTTGGTTTGCTTATGCTGAGCATCCTGTTTACCAGTGTTCTTAAATTATTTTCAGTTCATTCACTGTATCACACTAACATCTTAACACAGTTGGATGCTAATGCTGCACTGCTCAGTGGGTTCTCATTCATCTAAATTCGCTAAATAAATCAGCCACAACCGCAAAAGGATATGAGTCACAGGAATGGCGCGTTAGCATTAATATTCATTAAAATGTGTGGAATTCAGCAAAGAGGCAGCTTCGGATGTGTGCACTTTTGATTCTTAATCATCAACTCCATTAAACATGTGAAACTTTTGTTTTCTTCAGACGTATTTAATGTTGCACAGTGAAATATTTTCTTTAATGATGACAGCTTGGTTAGTTTTAACAAGACACTGAAAGATGAACATGTATTGCTCATGTTTCTTATGTGGCGTTCAGGTCATTACATAATGTTTACCATCTGTGCTGCCATTGTGGCGCCCCCTGCTGAATGTAGCTGATCTAATGCAGTTTAATAACAGGTGGGATGGTAATCAAATTGGCCTTTTTTTCCTGAAATGACAAACAGATTTTAGGTGTAAATTTAACTGTCTTTTCAGAGTGACTGACTCATATCTGGTCATGAAACCACGCTTATTAAATGCAAATAAAGTATGGATCAAAACTCAGTATTTGTATAAATGGTAATTTGTTATTTTACAACATTTGAGCATCAGATTACACTGTTTTCTTTACTGTATTGAAATGATCAAAAATATATGTATTATTTTTACAGATATTTGCTGATCTGAAAGAAAATTTACACACTTTGTGACGGTTCGTGCTCAGTGACAGTGCGGGTGGACCCAAACGAAAAGGGAGACGGGGAGAAGGGTTAAAGGAAACAGGATTTATTAGGGAAGGTGGTGGAGTGATGGGCACCAGGAGGCAGAAACAAAGTCCGGTGAAGGGTTGCCAGTCGTGGGGAATAACCCGGTGGTGGGATCTGGTGCAGGGATGTCAGTCGTGGAGAGGGAGGAGTGGAGTCTTCGGTGTCGTGATCCGAGGAAGGGGGGTCCCAAAGGTGGTGCACGAAGAGCCGGTGCCTGAGAGTGCCTTGGTCCGTGGGGTTTTTCCCGGTGCAGAGGGAGCCGTGACGAGGGAAACTGGGGTGGTGCGCAGGGGTCCGGTGCTCAGGGTTCGGTGCTCGTTGGGGGTGCTCTCGTGAAGAGTCTCCCGGTGAAGGTGTCCGTGGTCGTGAATTCCCGTGGGTGACAAACGCTGGAGTGCTTGGAGGTGTGCCGAGTGCTGGAGCCGAGGAGGAGAACTGGAAACAGGCAGAGAAACACATCCCATAAACTCGAAGCTGGAGAACATCAAGCATGCTGGGAATGCTCCGCGCGGTGTAGCAGCTCGTGGCCTGACTGTACCCCGAGGTAGGTATCACAATCCTCTGGCGTCGGTCTTCTGTGAGACGCCAGTATACAAGCAGGACATGGCTGATGAGCCACAGCTGCCAGCGTGCGCGTGTCTCCTGATCGGCTCCGCCCAGCCTGCAGAGAGCAGAGACACCCACCAAAGCACACAGACAGACAAAATCTCGAAAACCCAGTGAACAGTCTATGACCCTCACAGTACCCCCCATCAACGGACGCCTTCCGGCGTCCAATCGGACTCGCGTGAATTCCCCTGACAGAGAGACCTCAGGAGCGTGGGGTCCAGGACAAGCCGGGTGGGCGGCAATGAGCCGGGAGGGCGGAGGGGGAAAGGCCGGAGGGCTAAGAACACTAGAGGACAGCAGCGGAACCATCAGGAGGCCGGCGACGAAAAAGATGGAAACCCACTGGCAGTCGAGCTGGAGACCAGTGGCAGAAACCATCTGAAGGTCGGCGACAGATGAGACGGAGACCTTCTGGTGGTTGGGCTGGAGGCCGGCAGTGGAGCCCATCAGGGGCAGGCGACAGGCGAGACAGAGACTCTCTGGCGGTCGAGCTGGAGGCCGGCGGCGGGATCCCTCGGGAGGCCGGGCTCGGGCCGGGAGCCGGCGAAGGCGGATCCCCTCTGGTGGCCGGGCTCGGGCCGGGAGCCGGCGACGGCGGATCCCCTCTGGAGGCCGGGGTGGCCAAAACAGGCCAAGGCTCAGGAACACGAGAGGCTGGGGCAGTCTCCCTGCCCGCGTGACTGTCATCCATCTTTGGCAGTTCCCAGCATCCTGAGCCAGCAGAGACGGCGTCGACCCGCTCGAGGACAGGAGGAGGAGAAACGGCGTCGACCCGCCCGAGGATTGCTGAGAAGGCATCGACCCACTTGAGAACAGCAACGTGAGAAGTGGCGGCCTCGACCCGCCCAGGGATGGGCGAGACCGCAGGACTAGTGTGGTGGGCTCGGCGGCGGGACCTCAGGAGGGCTCGACGGCGGGACCAGTGTGGCGGGCTCGGCGGCGAGACCGCGGGACTAGTGTGGTGGGTTAGGCGGCGGGACCGCAGGAGGCCTCGGCGGCGAGACCGCGGGGCCAGTGTGGTGGTTTAGGCGGCGGGACCTCAGGAGGGCTCGTCGGCGGGACCAGTGTGGTGGGCTCGGCGGCGGGACCAGTGTGG